AATTTAAATACACAGCTATACAGCTTATCGTACTGGTACCGATGTGCGATAAAATTTGTGTCCATATTTGCGAGCCATTCATTGCTCTTGTATTTAATTTAATATTGCATTTGAAATAAATTTTCTGTAATGTCCGGACCCCAGTAATTTTGAAGTTTCGTAAACGGACCTTTGGTGAAAATAGTTGAGTAGCCCTGGTCTAGTCCACAAACTCTCATCCGTTAGAGTCAGCCCCGTAAATCTCCACTTTTCATGAGCGTGGCATTGCGAAATACTTGATGTAAATTTAGTTGGTAAAATACAATGTACAATGAACAACCAATCTGGAACCCTTGAGTCTTCTGACTTATCTACATAGGCGAAATAGGCGATATTTGCAAATTTAACTTTTTGCAAACTCAACCATTCGAAAGCTCAACTTTCCAATCAACGAAATATGGTAGGAATATCTGAACGAATTATCATAATTGACTAAAATAACAAACATTTTTGAAATTGTTCAACTTAATTGAAATGGTTATTTATTTTACTAATTTAGGTATCACAGACTCAATCGTCAGCTACAAGAACAGCGAGATTCTAAGAATACAGCTGTTACAAGTATGGAAGCTGATGGGGGAAATGATGCAATTAAAATCAACGAAGGCGAGGCGGTATATATCGTTGTTAATAAGCTGGCGAAAAAGAAGAAGACAGAGCATGGTGTTGTCGTTAACAAACTTTACAATTTATGAACAAAATGGTTTTGTGGAAATCTATCCGACATATTATTGTAATACACAGCAGTGGTTCTCTAACAGTTGGGCGAGCTCCCAAAAGAGTCGTAGACAATTTTTTTAAGGGCGTTCAACTAATTAAAAATACAAATATTCATTAGATTTGATCATGGCCTGCCTCATTTCGGCGAATTTAAAATGGAAATCTGCATCTTATCCAAATCTTGTTGAATAATTCGTAAACATGCTTGAAACTTTTTGTTTATTCCAGTATTTACGTTTCATCCACGTATTTTCAACTTCTCGTATGAAACATAGCTTCACCTAACTATCTGTTATTTATAGCTTATGATTAGCTAGTTGTTTTGGGGGTGGGAGACCTGACAAATGCTAAAAAGGGAGCATGGCTCAAAAAGTTTGAGAACCACTGAATTATACTATTTTGCAATCACTATGTCCCAGAAGTTATTGTCAATATCATGTTTCGTATCCCAGATCGTGACCAATTCGATCAGAGTTTGATAAAACAACCTCGTAGAAAAAGAAGACGGGGCATGAAGTCGACGTTAACGAACTTTATATAATTTATAAAAAAACTCGTCTCAGTGGAAATCTATGAAACATATTGCGATAAATGTATATTATACTGCAATAAGTATGTCCAAAAATCATTGCTAATATCGTCTGAGTTTAATCAATTACTTTGCAAAGAAATCCGTTACTATCGCAAATACTGAGTTTTAATCACTTAAGCAGCACCTTAAAACAGTACATACTGAAATAATAAAGCACCAACAGAACATGACTCAGATAAAAGCATGCAAAGTATGACTCAGCTGACAAATTACTGCTGCCAGTAGACAGATAAAGTTAAGAATACCAATGTATGCAATACAAATGATATCAATTATTACGGTCGATATCAGGTTTTATCCACTGCCTGTAATTATTTCAAACTTATTTTAATGAAGCTTGGACATGCTGTCATTTTGATGTTCTTTAATTTGTACGTTTATGCCATGTATAGAAGTGTATAGATGTCATTAGACACAAAATTTATATATTTTTTCAATCAGTAATTAAAATCAATATTATTGTTATTATTATCACTAGCAAACGTTAGCATATCAATGTTATTTTGCTTGCATTGTGAGCATTCATACGTTTTGAGTTATGACTAAACTCGATGGCAATATTCTTCTTTACACGTATTTTTTATTCATATTTTTGTTGGAACTTTTATTGATGCGGTATCTAATATTCATTTCAACATACCGAGTATATTTTTTAATGCGCTACTTCGGCGATAGATTGCACGTTTCATCGTGTCTTTTCGTGTAGAGTAGCCGCGTTGTTTGGTAAATGTATGAGTGAAATACCCACAAGCTATGACTGCATTTTTCTTCATTTTGTTTGCTGCACTTTCGCCTGGTTAGTCTTGACGTAGACCTTTCCCATCCGCTTTCACAAAAGGTGAACCACTGGTGTAGTGGTCACCCAGACTATAAGTACAGAACAAGGTATTCGAGTGTGTTATTTGCATATACTTCTTGTACTGTATACCATTATTAAAGGTAACTAATTTTGTTCGCCTACTTTACATCAAGTTGTGTAAAGAGACTGAAACGTATGGAGAGGGAGTATATTCACTTGGCTAACACAGACAGTCCCCGAACTCGTAATAGAACTAATATACGGAAAATCGGAATAAAATTATGGCCGAACCCTAACCTGGTATACACACTACGGGAGTACCGACTTGCTAACTCTTGACACACTTCAATCATATAACATCGCCACCTCAGCCGTATAACAAACAACAATCAAACTTAAACAGTACCACTCACCAAGACGGTGAATTAACAACTGCACCGAACATTTGTGATCGCTTCGCATCGTAAATTGCAACCTCCTCACCTCGCCGAGGCACTGATTAGTATGTAGCGTGTGCCAGTTGAATGCAATTATTACAAAGCAATGGTAAAACACTACCACCAGAAAGATGGCAATGACAGTTAAAGCAACTATTCCTCATTACGCATTTTACTTAAACTTCACTTGCTTCTTGACAGTGTTATTATCTTTCAAGCCCACACTTTCTCAAATTACTCAAGACAGGAAATACGTAAGCGGTCTATTGGTGTAATATAAACTATGCAATAAGAAAACAATGCGAAAATGTATAAAGTACATCTCATAGAATTATATTTAACTGACTGTTGCTCAAATTCAAATTAACAAATTTCTAATATATGTTTACGGTGAGAGCACATTTACAACCGCATACACTCGTATCCAAACATTTACACCTGTGAGCTGCACCCAGGACATTCGCACGTGCATACCACTGCACCAACCAACATGTACCCAACGTACATGTGTGCAAATGTCTATGGGTGCAGCTCACAGGTGTAAATGTTTGGGTACAAATATCCAGGGGTGCAAATGTTCATGGGTGCAATATGTATGTAGGTGTTGAAATCTACAGGTTTAAATGTATGAGCTCAATTGTTCATGGATGAAAAAATAGGCGAGGATTTACAAAATAAATACATTCATGTCAAATATAATCCTAATTAGATGATATTCAGTGTCACATATCGAATGTGGTGGTGTGGCGCCTCGTGATGGGGTGATGGGCATTAGGAATACACTCGCCACCGCACCTCTGATTACCCTGCGTGGGTTCGCAGGTTTGAATGCCATGCGGGGATACTTATGTATGACAAGAATGCTGAACTCCGTAGGGTGATTCACGTAACCGCTGGTCGGGAGGGGCCATCAGGTCCATGCATCTGAAATCAAATAACTGACTCACTAATCCCATACCCAACATGGACTGGTAACCGGACGAGAGACCGTGCTTCGCCACATGATTAAGCCGTCCTATCGACTTTCCTCTTCCTGGATAAAAAATGTAAATCCTAAATGTTGTTGGTTATCAAATAAACTTTGGTTTTGAGCAAGGTGTATACAAATACCATATTGTGGCCTCGACTCGACCAATTTAGAATTAATATAAATAAATATACAAGATAACAAAGCAAAAAAATAAATTACTGGTACAGTTACTTTAGCTGAACGCAAAATTTGCTCAAAATGACAGAATGCATTGTAAACCATATTTCATAAAAAATGTTCCCATGGTTAAAAAAAAGCCCAGACAATTTTGAATTAAATAGAGGGACCTACAGGACTCAGAAAAAATTAGCGGCTGCAACCATTTTTGGATGCTGAATATTTGATCCAATAAAAAAAGTAAAAGTTGAGGAGGAGAATGTGATTTTTTTGACTAAAACTAAGAACAAGAATTAGAAAAATTAACAATCATTATGTACACTTTCTGTCCAAACGAAGTAGGATAGCGATGAGGGGATGCACGACAAAATAAAAATGTGAAGTCAAATACTTTCAACGTCGGGGCTGGCGTTACATAGTTTAATTTAGTATTTCCCCCATAACTAATGGAAGAAATTAGAATTTGCATATATGGTACAAGAATAAAACGATAAATGGATGTAAGTGTATATTATTCAATTTATGCTAACAAGGAATATATACCGGTATATGCAGTGATGAGCTGTAGCCGGAACGTACCGGAACAGCGTTCCGGTTGTTAGACATTTTATTGCATTTGCGTTCCGGTTGTTGAAATAAAATTATGTCATAGAAAGTCTAGTTCTAGTACATCTTGTAAACTTACTTATTAACTTACGTTTTGTTACGCCATAATTCTTTTTACATTACAGCAGACAAATATTTAGTGCACAGCAATAACGTGTAATGGATGTTTCGCCGACCTTTGACCTCGTGAAATTTTATCCTATACCTTTCTAATAAACACATTCGTATTGAATTGGTATAAATATTCTTGTAATTTTGAACAGAAATTAGCTGCGTTCCGGTTGTTACGATTTTCCCAGCTCAGCACTGGGTATATGTATATATGGTGTCCATAAATATGGTTTCCATATGGTCGATATGGTGTCCATAAAGCACTGGGTATATGTATATATGGTGTCCATAAATATGGTGTCCATATGGTCCATTTGGTGTCCATAAAGTCTCACATTTTTTTTAAATTGCAAATAAAATTTATCGATACTATATATTGTTTTGGTCCTTACAGAATGGAGTAAAAATGCTCAAAAAACTGATTGAAGAACAACAAACCTGGTGAAAATATATTAAGAATTGAATTCATACCAAAAGTAAATTATTAAGCGACTGAATGGACACCCTATATATATACCTGATGTTAAGACTACTACTACTTATCGATAAGTGGCAAACTAAGAAGCCATAGCGTAAAGCTGATTCACAACAGTCTCTTTCTCAGTTGTCTCATCTGGTTTGTCCACAGTGTGGTAAATCGTGTCAGGGTTGATTTTCCCATCGCACTGCATGGTTGATTCGTATTGGTTGCTTGGCGAGGTCACCATTGTGTTGTTAACACGGCCATCAATGACGGCTTTCTTCCTGAACCTGAAAATTGATATGCGTGTGGTAAAGACTAAAATGGGCCTATTATTATTAATAGGACCATAGTATTGGGTATTGAACATATCTCCGCGGCCATATTATAATAAGCTCATATTATTTAACTAATAAAAATTGCATAAAATAAATTATTACGTCCAGACGTAATATCATTCGACTTTTCGGCTCGCAAACGTGAAAAAATGGGAGAAAGAATTTTCAATACTTATGTACAGGTACTGGGCCGTGAATGACGAGAATTTTGCGAAAATGGTGTCACCATCTTGTCTAATGTTTAATCGTCTAGCTAATTTGAACTAAATCATACCAAAATCAGATTGAAAAGTTATTCATTAGAATCTCTAAAAAAGAGCTAAAAGGGCTGAAAGAATTTTATAAAATGGAATCATCGTCGTTTGTTGTGTGCGGTATCAGTTTTATACATATTAGGTATTTTCTCGTTAAAATTCCATTCTGAATCAGAACTCGAATTCAAGTCATATAGTCAAATCCAACTTATAACTTCATTGGGACGAGCACGGTTTTGCAAGGTTTTAGGCATTTTTTCACGGTTTTCGGTGGGTTTTCACGTTTTTTTAGTGTTTTTGCAAGGCTTTGGGTGTTTTTTCACGTTTTTTCCAGTGTTTTTGGTGGTTTTTGACGAGATTTATACGACTTTTGCAAAATTTCGCAAGGTATTTGAAAACTCCATCGCGATTTTTGCATTTTTTGGTGTTTTTCTTCGCTGTTTTTGCAGGGCTTTTCACCTAAGTGGGCAAACATACCTTCTTATTGCAACAGCAATCAGTATCGCTGATAGGAGTCCACAAATTATTCCGAATGCAACTGCTGCTCCAACAGCGCCAGAATCATCTTGTTTTTCATGTACTGTGCTTGTTCCTGTATGGGGCAGGGTGAAATAAGAAAACATTTCAAACAGCATTAATTAAGTTAAATTGATCTTTGGTCTTTGTCTGACTCACTTTTATGGGTAGCAGATAAGCAGTACAAGTATTTCATTGAATGGAAGTCGACACATGTTTGAAGGCGTTCAGCAATATTGCCGCACAATGACGCATAGTTAGATCAATAATCATCCTTATATTTTTCTCAAGTAATCTTATAATATAAAGACATAGACACAGAAAAACAATATATATGTAGTACAGGCTTACTTCAATTGGCTATTTACAGACATTTCTTGATTTGTGAACTCATAGGGAGTGTGTACAAAACAGAAGCTTACGAAACTATATATTATTAAACTCTCAATAATTCAAAGAGATGTTTTTAAAGTTTGTGGTTGTATCTGTAACAAAAACAAAATTTAACTAAATCACCATGACTCGTGTCTTCCATACATGGTAGGTATTCGTAATCTAGCTGAAATTTTCGAGGATACCTCAATCCATAGTAATATAAATCAGGCGATGGTTTGAACTTAACAGTGAATGAATCAATAGCTTCATAGCTGTGTAGTCTTTGTGAACATTTTTGTTGCATTTTTATGTTTTCCAAGTTTCGACATTTTTGATTGCTTCCGTGGAAGATAAGACATGTGCCGTTAGACATAGTTGCAATGTTTGTTCCTTGAAACGAGATAGCTATCATTAAAACTTAATTGATAACTTCAGATCATCTTAAAGATAAATCATCTTAAATACTGGCAGTTATAAAACGTAGTCTATGTAATATCGGAGACAGAATGTCCACAGATGAAGCTTTATAATCCATATAAATAATGATAACACGAATATTTTTTACACTGGTTTGGAAAGAAATAGACAATTTGACCTTTTCTAAATTTTTTTTAATTTTGATGTTAGGAAAAATTTCCTAGCTTTTCTCAGAAACTTATGAACAAATAGATATCAAACTTTTGGTACTTGAAGATAATTGGAGCTGCTAGAAGATAGCTTATTTTTTTATTTCTAATGTGACTGTTATTTAAGCGGAAATTTTACTCTTCTACTTTTTAAGTGGAACAACACTATTTTTACTTATCACCCACGCCGGTCCGATGTGCGACTTTTGTGCACACATAATTGAGCCTCGCTTATTAGAAAACCAACCATGAGAAATCTGAAAGTAAAATTGCCCAAGAGAGTATCAATTGAATAACGAGTTACCGTTAACTAATAAACTCCCAGCAAGATATGTTGTCTTAGATACGAACATCATATTCATTGTACGAACAAATAAAACCAATGAAGAGTTCTGGGAAAATTCGTGGTGAGGAAGTTGCCACTTTCTGCAGTGGCTTGACCAAAACTTTTGTGGATAATTTGGTGATTGAATGGTCCCGTTTACTGTTGTCATCATTTTTGTTGTCGATGGTGGACACGCAGATATAACATTCTGGATCAGCAACGCTGTGTAAACATAAACTGAAAATTGGTAAACTTTGTACTTGTACTAATTCTCGGCGATACAAAAATTCAAAACCTGTAAATATACCAAACAAATGAGCAATGCGCAAAAATATGAACACGAAAGCCAAAACGAAGTAGAACGGGAAAGAAATATGTAACAGTACCGGTACCGTATACTTCCCGACTTTGACTGACCACTGGAACGCATCGATTGCGAACGCGGAACAGCCTCAAGTAGCGCAAGTTTTAATCTCGATGACGTCAATGAAAAAAAATTCCTGAATAAAAACGAATATCATATAGCCTACAGAAGTTTCAAAAATAAAAAAAAGAAATACCCTTCTAGTGACAACAACAACCACAAAATATTTGACAGCAGTTGGTCCAGTAGGTAAAGGTAATGGCGGTTTTTTCCTAACACCAACAGCAAATTAACAACACAATACAGACAACAGTCTTTCAAACCAAACATACACTAAATGTCAAAGATACAAATAGATAAATCATCCCTCCGCTAACTGTTCTGCCTGCCAAAATGTCTTACCAGAGTTTTTAAATTTTTGTTCAAAATATCAGTATTCACGTTTGATTTTCAAAAAAATTTCTTTGAAAACGCACTGTTCTTGCTTATATGTCATATGTATACACCATACTTATTGTGAGAACAAATCTATCGACTATTTGGAGTGTGCAGGGTGTCCATAGAGTCCCTTTATATTTCCAATTTTGTTATGGTATCGGATCTCAATAAATCTTAACCAGAATTTTTTTTTCATCAGTATTTGTTTAGATATTTTTTTTTTCATTTAATTCATCTGCGCCTTATATTTTACATAATAAAAACATATGCAGTCACCAAAGCTATTTACCAGTAAACAGAAGAATCCATTTCAAATACATTCCAACGCAGCACCACTCAACCCGAGTAGAAAATCAAATCTAGGTAAAATATCAGATAGAATACAACAGCCTAGGCACGCGCTAACACTGAAGACGAGTAAACGCTTTTCCGTTATAACTGCATATCCACTCTACACATGTTCTATAATACATTGTGTGGGGACGTAATATATACAATTCATGCTTACGTAATTGCATCAGCTTTACGTATTTCTATTTTCAGTCAAAGGGTATACATTGATACATAATAACATGAACTGTTTTCAACCTCCTCGTCATTCTTTAACATTAATGTGTTACGTATATTGCAATCAGTGGCATTAGTGATTCATCCATCTGATAACGAAACAATTGCTGTATCTCGTTCTTTTGTTAAACCTGGCGCCACTTCCTTCATTCTGACATAGCCTTATCACATGGAAGATATGGGTTAACTAGATTCACTAGGTTGCTTTACCCATTATACCCAAATTCATGAACATTTGACTATATAATTGTATAAAATATACTGATTGTTCAGAACAGTGAAATTCATATTTGGTACTTTCGAAAATTGTAAGTGGGAACCAAATTTTCTGCGAGTCAGAGTCAAATGAAACCTTTTCCACTTTTTGCCGATAGACAATGCGCCTATGGAGAACATGGTTTTATTCAGCTCTCAGCGCATAAATCGGCGATTCCCAACCTTTTATGGCGCGTGGCCCCTTTTCAGATATTTTTAGCACTCATGGCCTCCTGTTTGGTATTACGGTAGTATTTAAAGTGGAGTTTTTATTGGTAAATTCCGAATTCCATTAAATGCAAACAATTCATGCTCAGCAACAAGTTTATCAAGCAATGAAACTAGGAATAACGAGGAGTTTTCTTATATAGAGAAAACTAAAATCAGTTTTGCGCCCCGGTAGGGGACTGCGGCCCTAATTGGTTAATTGAACTGAATCTATGATTGTGAAAATCTAGTTTTCACGGATCCGAATTACATTTTCATGGTATTTTATCAAACCTAATGTTGAGCTTGGCCGGCTTAATTCACAATTTTACCCGAAAAAAATATCATCGATATCTGAAAATTGCTGAGAAAGCCTCCTACGTGCAACTGGCTAGAGAATAATGACACGGACGTCAATCAATCCATCCACCTACATTTCCGTGTGCCAATAGTACTCTGTTCCTACAAGCGTTACGAAAACACTGGCGCGTACAAAACACCTCGCACTATTTAGTTGTGCGTGCCATTATGTGATGCATAATTGGATGAGATATGAAGAAAAAGTTGGCAACATGGTAGATGAATAATAAAATATATATGCAATTTAAAATATATATGCAATGATAAATAACTTATATATGAAAACTCTATTTGCAATTGCATTAGTTAGGCATTTTCTGGTCTGGAAACGTGGGCAAAGAAGGACGAGAAGTTGGACGATGACAAGATATTTTGTCTTGTATATCTTAGCTGTTTTCGGTGAGTATGCTAATAAGTTAATCAAGACGTTTCAGTAGATTTAGTACTGGTGAATGCAATGAATATTAAGCAACAAAATCAATGCTAACAATGCAATAGGTAGATATTTTATTTATTGATAGCTGGGTTGAGTCGTGAAGTATTTTATCGCCTGCGAGCCAAATGCTGCCTTCAGGGAAAATTCATGCGGCCCGTGGAAAAGTGCAAATTTGAAATGATGTAAGGCCCGCTAAACGAGTTTTCAATTTAATTACGAAGCCGATACTCGAGTTCAATTTATTATCTATGTATATGACGTGACAGTGCCTTAACAGTTAGCTTGTGTAAAGCGAACAACGCATGTCTTAAGATCAATAACCAAAATTTCTGTGCGTGCAATTATTAGATAATGGCAATAATCTCAATGTTCGGATTTCATGAATCTTTTTATTTTAAGATTTTTTTAAAAACATAATTCCTATACCTATGATATTTAAAATATTGGTCTTTTAATAAATGATGAACGAGTATAATTCAGAAATATTTTATAAATATTATTTATATTTCAGTACATTTAAAGAATAACGTATTTGCTGCATGTACTAGCGAGGAAATTGTGCTGTCGTCACCAAATGGCACCATGAGTTCACCAAATTATTCTGGCAATTTTGGTTATAGTCAATGTCCTATGTGGATTCGACCTCAAACTAATTCGTCTTCCAATTCAGCATTGCTAATTCGAGTTGTGAGAAATTCTTTAGTATATCTGACGTCGACTTATAACTTTAAATTTGTCATTGGAGAATTACTCATTGGAGGTCAGTATGAACAAACTAAAGTATATATTCATAAAAACTTGCGTTTTACACAATTACAGATTATTTCAGATTTAACTTTCTTCAAACATTATCTGCTGATGTGGCATTAATCTTACTACAAATTTTTCATACTTATTGGCTATTGAGCTACTAATATTTTATATTAACGAGGCTCCGCGTTTTGGCTAAGCGATGGACCAACCAGAACTTAAACTCAATATTCAAATATGTGGTTGCTTGTACAGAGCTTAGTTCGAAGTAAAGGGCATAGTTCGACGTAAAAACGGTACAAAACTGCAAACAATGACCAACGCGTTAACTCGCGTGACTGAATGAACTCATTCGTTGACTTTTCTCAACTTTGAAACTTCTCTATATCACCAGGTCTACCAATAGCTTTATCTGTTCCCAACACTTGCTACGTTATTCACTCAATGAATTCTTCACGCGACGGAAATTTTGAAATACCCAAAACTTGCAATCCGACATTTCACTTCTTCAATCACGGTTCTTGTGATGCATCTACAGTTAAATTCAAACCGAACACATTTAATTGGAGTTGGAAACCGAGATTGTTTCAACTGTATTACGAATACTTGGAGGAGACAGTTCCAGTCGAAGAAAGTAAGTACAATTTAAACTATTAAGTTAAGAAAGCAGAAATCAACCGATTAGACATGATAAAAACACACATCAACATTACGATCAATTTATCCCAATTCTCACTACACGATAAAAAATGTTTTTTGGTATTCCTAATCTTACCTGTTTTGACGTTAAATATGTCAGTAATGGAAGGAGGTTGGATATGTGACATTGTCGATTTAAAATCAGTCTTCAGATTACATAAACATTGAAGTAACATTATTCCAATATTGCTAATCATTTTTTGTTCTCACAGTAACAACCAACAGTCCACTACCCATGCATGTGACGCATTCGTCATCTTCTATGCCCACAATATCAGAAATCTTAAAGGTCTCAACCTACGACTCCAGCACCGCTTCAGAATTACGTGTACAAGATAACAACTCGACGCTGTGTGCTGATACTATTGGCATGATTGAACAAAATGTCGGAGGATCGTTCAGTTTCAATATCCTATCAATTGCTTTGTCAGCTCTTGCTACCGTGGAAGCGATAATTATTGCGGTTCTAGTTTTTCTCAGGTGAATAAGTCTGATGATTAGAATATACTATGTCGGTGCCGCTTTAGTATGCAATCTCACATGCTTAACGTTATCTCAATGGCACAGAGACATTTTCATAGAATTCAGTTCCAAGCCCTAACTCTAACTAAAATCACTGAGATCACATAACCGCTGAGATCACATACCAAGTACCAATAACCCTCTATTTATTAATAGCGGAAGTGCAATATTTATAACTTTTGTATTATCAATCCACGTGATGAATGTTACAATTTGATTACGGAAAACCAAGGTATGACGCCTTACATATAAACCAGGGTGGTCACGGTTTTTTGCCCACCTAGACTGGCGGGCTTTGTAAGTGTAACGTAAAAGTTACATTTTATGAAAAATTTTTACAGTGTGACAAAAGTGAAAAACAATGAGCCCCGTGACAAAACTAAATTTACTTGCAATCTCAACAAATTCCTTCCGCTATTACATTGGTTAATATCAAAATTTGGTTTGAGTTTGGTTGTGACAGCATCGGGCGGGCTGGATTAAATTACCCAACGGGCCGGATTTGGCCCGCGGACCGTTGTTTGCCCATGTCTGATATAAACCAACATTTGTTTGATTTCAAATAGGTAATTTTACTTGATCAAATTTTATACGGACTTATGAAGACAAACATTTCACTTTAAGTTCACAACAGGTCTTCTATATACCAACACCTAGCTATTATAATTTATTAATTACAAGCTTTATTATGTTTCCATCAATTCTGGCAGGCTGTTAGATAAAATCAGATTCACAATATTTACACACGCTGGTATGACGCAATTACTTAATTTTCAAATGTGTAGTTTATGAATTTATACCTATAAACATTAGCAATGACGCCCTGATATCCTCATGTTTGTGACCAATATTTCATTACTTTGCGTTTCGTAAATTTTTGAAAACAAGGATCCTAATCATACTAAAAAATTTATTTCAGAAGCAGAAATATTCCCCCGAATACTTCAAACAACTCTTTCAGTGCAACGAATAATCTTGACACAGTAAATGAGGCATATTACGAAACTGCTGACGACCCGCCCAACATCAGTGCAACAAATAGAGTTGTAACTCTGACAAATCAGTCAGAAAATGCCTATGAAATTGATGAGAGGCAAATGGTAGTCAATGAACTATATACAATGTGAATATATACATGAAATTTTAAAGTTCAATTATTCTTCCTATGTCGTTTAAATGTGATCTGTATTTGGCATGAAATTTGAAGCATTTTTTTTATCAAGCATAAAAATCGGCGCTCCAGAAGTGTATGTAGACTACTATGTACCAATATAGAGGTATAACTAATTTTGTTCGCGCACTTTACATCAAGTTGTGTAAAAGGACTGAAACCTATGGGCAGGGGATATATTCACTTTGCTAACACATACAGTCCCCGAACTTGTAATAGAACTAAAATAGGAAAATCGGAATAAAATTATGATCTACCTAACTTGGTACATATAGTACGGGAGTACCTAAAAATTACCCAACGGACGAATTTGGCTCCCGGATCTTAAATGTCAGTACTAAACTTGGGTCAATTTGTGTCACTTTAGCACGAGGTCAACCCTCGCGTTAGCACTTAAGCGTGAGGTAAAGTGTAGACTACATATCGCGGTAGACCACATGCTAAAGTAGCACCGCCTAATTTGCTATGCCACCGCACTATGATTTCATGAACTTTTTCTGTTTGATTTTTAATTATTAGTCAAGTTTTGCTTATATATTATTTTTGGGTAAATTTCATATATAGAAAAGTCACTAAAACATAAATAAAAACATACGAGGGAATGGAAAAGTTGTTTGAGTAGATATATTAATCTTTGTGGGCATTGAGGTATCAAAACTGGGATGAGAAACATGTCGTGTTAATGATAATTATTACCTAAATATTCAGCACTGTTCCAGTGTTTCAAATTATGTGTTCAATGTTTTAGATGCTATACAGCACGTGAGAGCTATTCATTAACATTAAGAACATTCTCAAATACAGAACGCGATTTAGTACTAATTCTAATCATTTTACACTTATTTTCTCATAAATCACTTCAAAGTGAAATAGCTGAACGTGTTTGCCTACCTTGACTGGTTCCTATTTTGTGATACTCCCTACATATACATCTGAGCAACACTTCCCTACCAAATATAAAATAAACGATAAGATTTACTGAAAAATAAAACCAGTAACTTTGAGTTTTTGTTGATCTAACAAGATTTTCATGCGACGCAGTTTTGGGACGCGACCCATAGGTTGGGAAACACTGAAATACAATATGTGCCTTTAATACAAATATCGAAAATCTATTGTGTTTATGAAAGAGGAAATTAGCAATCGGATGTAATAGGCACAATTCACTTAGATTATAATTTAAACATAAATATGCCATGGTCATGTTAGATATACCATTGCACACTTCATATGTATAATTGCGATTTATAAGTAAATTAGAAAAAAAATTATTTGCCAATCTTTAAACAAAGATTAGTTTTGTGACTTTTTCGAAATATAACACACCAATATATTGACTACTCGTGGCTTGAGTGAATATAAGAATGAATGTGCTGGTTTAGTAGTGCTAATACTGCCAGAAGCAAGTTCTCTTGACGTAGAATTTACAAGCACCAAGGCAAACAGAATTATGTCAAGGGGATTGTATTGTGTAGTCATATTTCAAACTCAACGATATGGGGTTTCTCGTTTTATTGCGAAACGTAATATGCTTGATAGTTTCCTAAATATATAGCTAGAAAATATGCTTCATTTATCACCATCGAAAACCATTCATCTTGACCATTTCTCGGAAACCACGAGTTAAATATAACGATATTCTTCAACAATGAACTAGTCCACTGATTCACAACGTACGTACGGGAAACTACGTAAAGCAAGGTTGCCAAACACGCGGTCCGTCGTACTGTTTTTGGCGGCCGGCCCAATGAATTTTGTAAGCAGACTTTTTGTATGTTTACTATGTTATATAGGCGGAAGTATATTTCGTGATTTTGGTGTGATTATTCCATCCATCTATCTACATCCGGATGTCGATTCTTATTGTTATGTATGTATCAAGTCTTGCGCCCTGATGAACATCGGAGTTAGTTTTTTTTTTATTTCTAGCAGAACTAAGCGTATTGTACGACGAGCTTGTGCGATATTGTGCGATCATTGACGACGAACGTTAAGCGCAATTATAGGGATGAATTTGGAACCTAAATTTCCAAATTATTTTCATTTTGATTACTTTCTTTTGTGTAGGCTTTGATCGTCTTTATTGCCAATGTAAAATAAATAGTCAACAATATCTTTGCTGCTGGCTCCGGGACTCGTTTTTTTTTTGGTTCGTATTTTTGTTTATCTTATGTTGGCGTTGAATAAAAATTTGGAATTGTCGTCCATCCGTATTCGTCAATAATTCTGATAAAATTGACCTAAATGGCAATTATACATATTCAGATAAGTATATATATTTGTCCAGAAGACTTTGTAATGTTTCTTCATTAAATACTTCTATTGAAGTTTCAAATTTTACGAAACGGCCCACTAAAATTTGATGTTCCCGCGACATTGGCGCACATTACGACGCTCATTTAAACAATAATCTAGCCACTGAAAATAAATAAATAAAAAACACCATGACTCAAATATAAGACTCTCTTTTGACGTCTTTGTTTGTTAGTGAAAACTGTGTGCAGATTCTCATGTGGTCGTCAGAAATCCACAAGTGCGTTGTGTAAGGGTTGATGTTTTGATTCAGCGACCTGCGGGTGTCTTGTTCACGCCCCATGTTACCAGATATTTGAATAGTAAACTGCTGATATTCGAATATTTTACCAGCACTAATCAGTAACCAGTAAATAATTATCAACTCGATTGATTTTATGTTACCGTAATAATCTTGCCTTTTATGTAGTATGTGAATTCTAACAAAATCGGGACTTGGCTGGTATTAAAATTTGGGACAACGTTTGCGGCCAGAAACAATATTCATCATTTGAAATCGGCCCGCAAGACGAAAAAGGTTGGGCAGGCCTGACGTAAAGGCAAGCTTTTGCGATGAATATGCTTGGAATGCAAGATAGTTTATTCAAATATTCTTATGGGTTTTTGAATGAGAGATTCGACATTGCGACACGTTGCTGAATGGCGACTCCGCTTTGGGTCGCGATTCATATATACGGGAACAGTGGTATAAGTTATAACAAACACGTATAATAAAGAGCACCATTTCATCCGCTACTGCTGCAATAAACAGTATCTTAAAATTCAAAGTATGTGTGATGCAGTCAGTGGGCATGAGTTCAAGGGGATTGCGCACAGCTTTGGAGCGAATATATACCCGACGTAGAACAGTTTGTTGTTTGTTAGCAGATATAACGATATACTTGAACAATGAATTAGTTTACTAATTCTCGAAGTACGTGTAGGAAACGATGTAAATAAACCATCTCGATGAAACTGCTTGAAATGCAGGATAGTTTGGTCAAATATTTTCATGGACTTTCGAATGAGAAAATGTGATTTGACATTTCACTAAATTGCTGAATGAGGTTGAATATGCGTATTCGTCATCGTCATCCCATACAAGTCATCCCAGCATCAGTAGCTCTAAAAAAATGCTTAACATATGAAAAAGAAGGTGTCAAGTGATCCAAAGAAAATTATAGTAAATATCATTCAAGATGTTTTTCATACTAGGTTTATTTCTTTACTAAATATTTACACAATTTCATCCAAAAAAAAAATTGAAGAAGAAATACATTTTTTTGCTCACTAAACAGACCCCTAAAATATTTAATATTTGAGCATATTTAAAATAACCTAAGAAATAGTCCAAATTGATTCTTCATCAAAAGTTTAAGTTAAAATATACAACAAACGCTATTAAAGGAATAGAAGATATGAACTAATAACTCGAAGTCGATATACATGCATCGGTTCATGTTTTTGCATGACACGGATATATATTATAAAGCGTGCCAATATATGTATACATATTTCGAGAAATAAAAAAAATGATTGCATATGTTTCCATAGAGTTTA